TTTGATATTTTCAAAAAAATTGCAATACTTATCAGACAGCAGGGGACATTCTAAATTTAGATTAAATTGACTATGCACATGTGTGACAAAAGCATAAGTATTCAAACAAGTAGCGGAGTGAGTACTCATTGCAGGCCTGTCAGTTTCATCAGCATAGCTGGACAGCTTTATACATCAAGGAATAAATACACACACATATACTATATACAAGGATTGACATAATTGGTAGACAAGGATGCATTTACTGCAAAAACTGTTGTGCATTGCAATTTCTTGTCATAACAGCACAAATGTGTACTTCTTTTATGTGCAATCGTGCTGTCGTGACAAGAAATTACCATGCATTTTAACTTTCATACCACAAATGAAGTACACATTTACTTGCATACAAGTTCTGTCAAAAACTATGACCATTTTTTTTCACGATGAGACAGCAAAGTAGCCTCTTGAGCATGTATCCAGGAAACAGATAAGTACAGGGTCTGTTTTCACTGAGCAGTATGGAAGATGAAACCCTCTCCATTGGAAAGAAAGCTATGGGGATACAGAGTAATGCCATAGCATTGACCCCAAAGGCACAGGCTAAATAGCTCTAAAAAAATACTATAGTGCATCTTAACCCTCTCCAATATGTGACAGGCGTGTTGTGGCTTTTGAAACATTGAGGTCTTCACAATCATTTTGGTAGAAATGTCCTCCAATTTGGCAACACCATGTGGTGGTGTCAAGTTCTCCCCTTGTGATACTGGTGCAACAGAGCAGAGGTACTAGTACAACACGTGGTTCTGCAGCCTGATAATTTCACTGCTTTCTCTATCTCTGCCTTGTTATGGAAATCAATCAACACTAAGCACTAAAAAAATGCAACAACTTCTTGCCCCTCCAAAGGGTTGCCTCAGATTTTTATCCATCGTTTCTAGCATCACTGGCATCACTGTCCAGTCGCAGCGTCTCACTCATGTTACACACAGAAAGTTTCACGAAGTGCAGAAACTCAGCATCTGTCTGGAGTCATGCATAACTAGTTTCAAACCTTGGGCTGAATACAATGAGGACAGTGTCAAAAACTACCTGTGCTTGACTCTGGGTTGATCAGATGCAGTCAGACAAAATGCTCACATATTGTTTACACCATGATATTCTGGAATTTGAAATTACAACGAGGGGAATGAAAGTCACACTAGTCAGAGCTGACCCTATTAAGGGGAATTCAGTACATGTGACATATTGCTTAGCAACACAAGCCCCTTTAGAATGTCGTATATTGACAGTTTGAGCGCATACGTGGGTGTAATTCGGGAGGTAGACAAAACAGTCAGCTAAACAGCAAGTGGCGAAATAAGTACAGAAATTCATATTCAACATATTCAACATATTCTTTCCTTAGCAATCCGATCGCCTGGTAACCACGTGCCATATCGAGTCTAAACCATAATTTAGCTGCTACATCATCACTTCCTAAAACCTCATGGGAGCTGATAGTTCAGGTTCTAGATTCATTAAAGTTCTAGGTTTACTTTTTATTTTGATAAATGTAATTTGCAACCACAATATGTTGCAGAAAAGGCTCACTTGAATTGTGGTCACATGAAGCATTAAGCAATACTGCAATTCATAGATTAAAGCATATGAGATGAGCTCATCACAGGGAAAAACGGCAATGGTGCAGAAGGCTCATTTTTAATTGCTTTCATCAAGAACCTCATGCCTGAGATCTAGCTGTCTCATTAGCTTCTTGCTTTGTTGGAAGGTGATATATAAGCTCCTGCTCCAGTGCTGCTTACACTTGTACCTGGGCATTCATTGCAAGCTCAGCCTAGCTGCACTTAATGCCTACTTGACTTCTTGACAGCCATTTGTTTGTAATTTGTCATTTGCCTCACTTGCACGTCGCTTTGGAGAAAAGCATCTGCTAAATAAAGTAAATGTAAATGTAATCAGCAAGCTGTAAGAGGAAGTTGACTGCTGTAGCCCCCCAACCCATTCCCGTATTTACATGTGGATGACAGCCTATACACCACATGACATTAACCACACAGTGCATAGCTGGTGAACAAGAGCCCTGATACAAAGGCACATTCACATCCAGACCAATACTGCATCAACACAACTCAAACATTGACGACGACTACAGCGACAGACACATGACTGACCACAACCATCACATCATAATACTGTTCCTTCAGTGTACCACCTGGAGCAAATGGAGATATCCCACAGAGCAGCTGTCGCCATTGCTCACAGCCTAATGAATGCAGAACCAAATGCTTCATGTATTCCTTTTTGGAGGAGTGATATGGAAATGACTACAGAAAGGGCTGCACTCAAATAGCTCAAAGGCAAAAAGCAAAGTCACTGATATCTTACTATAATCACAACAGAAACTGAAAAGGGAGAGCGATATGGCTCACAGGTATTGTAGGTACAGCACCACTACAGCTGAACAGCAATTTGTGAGCTTTCCGTGGTGCTGAAGAGCTCAGGAAATTTGATGTCTAGGATTTATCCACTTGACAGCAGATGATGTAACACAAGACTGAGTGGTTTTAAAATTAATTTTGCACCATCTAACTGGCCCCAGGAGAAAGCATGCTTACAAATAGCAAGCATAAAAGTATAAAAGTGAATTTGTATAATTTACTATCCACTGGATCTCCAACCACGAATTATAGAGACACACATTCTAGTGAAAGTCTATATAAGAGAAGACCAGTTTGAACAGACAGTAAATTTCTCCTGCTTATACTGGAAAGAAGAGAAATGTATACACCTTTTAAGCACCTCAGGGGGAAAAAAAATAAAATATCACTGACCAAATGTCTTCAGTATGTATTCATTTTTTTCAGTGATCATGCTATGGTTTCAATGGGCAAAGCAAAGTAGCCTTTGACCTTTTTCCTAAGCCAAGCTCAGCTCCACACAGAAGTCAGTTCAGGATACTTAAGGTTATGGTAACCTGGCCGGCAGACACACAATACCCTTCCCCCACCCAGAGGCAGACCAACAGCAGGCATCAGCAAGGAGCATCCCATTACAAACACAATGCCAACAAGGCAATCTCACTAGGCTGCTAGATTGGGTTTCAGACACTTAATTCTGACAAGCATGTTCCCATTATTTCAAAGCATCAGAGCCACCCACACACTTGTTAAGGTCTGAAGGCTCTATGATCTGAGACTAAAACTTCCATTATACATCCTGTATGGCAGACCAACCACCACAGCTGATTATTAATTCTGGCAAATGACAGTATGAAATAGCTCTTGCATAGGTTTTTCTGGCATTTTCTACATCAGTATTCTTTAACTGCGTTGTGTGCCAAACGGAGATGATGGCAACTACAAACGGCAAGCAGCCCTGGGTTTCAGGAACGGCAGGACATTCCCACAGGTATATTAAAAGGTAATGAAGAGCAGAGACTGCAAACACCTCCATAACCATTCGTTTTAAATAACCAGACTCTCTTGTGTAGAAATGAATAACACCATTTTGTCAATATCACAAATTTAAAAATGACAATATTATTTCTCTCGAAAATATGCAGTCTCCCTGGCTAGCTGGTGCACTGCCAGAACTTGGCACTTCCAAAATGACTGTTTCACAGAGACATTCCAGTTGTATCTATTATTATTCATGTTACTTTGCTGATTTTGTTAGCCAAAGTGAAGTACAATTTTTGCATTCAGAGTGAAGCTCCCATCTCGGCCTTCGTGTTCATGTTGAATTCCTGTCGTTAAAGACACAACAACATTCAAGTCATTTCAGCCCAATTCATGTCTATGTCCCAAAGGGCATCATTTCACCAGGAAATTGAGAATGTTTTGGGCCAAGGTAATAGTCACCAAGGCCAGTCCACCAAGAAACTTGCCAAGTACATGGATCTACCAGTTGGCTGCCTTTACATGTTTGTCACTCTCTCGTGCCGTGCAGGTCACCGCGCATGCATGTACATGACGGTCTTTTAAATTACGTTTTTTATTATACCTTTATAGTATTTTATAGTACAGTACCAAGCACTGCAGGTATTGCATATATATAATTCTTCGACATGTCTTTCAAGTACAGGCTGACAACAGAAATACTTATGTGAGTTTTTTGGCGCATCAGTGTGCTTCAAGGCATCTTCCTGTTGTAAAGGTTGCGTCATCTTATCGCTCAGAAAACATGAAGTAAAATTCACAGCATTCTCAGGTACGTGCATCCAAATCCACATAGCGGAGGCCATATAAACTACATCGTGCTGTGGGGTTATACTACACTGTAAATGATGATTATGGATAACATAAAAGCCATTATTTCAACGCGCGGCAGGTACCGTACCTTGTTTTTAATGTTGCAATGGCAACACACCGTCCACAGATAATTGAGGGTCCTCCACAGAAGAATGATGAAGAGCCCACCGAAAAAAGTCACCATAGATGAGGCGAGAAATGCCCACCACATGCGTTGGCCATTGTTGTCACAGGGCACGTCTGGTGAAAACGGGATGATCACGTCCATCTTGGATATGAATATAGCGGACGAGTCCGGATTTATGTTATTAATATTCTTGCTCATAATGCTGCCGATTCTCCCAGCAGTACCGTCACCCACTACAGCTAGCATCCAGGGGCTTGCCGCCGCTCCCAGCCTGGAGTATCAGCCATGTTGCTCAAAATATCCTATTTTCCACCAAAAACGGCGACTCCTACACACATCGATCCCCTGAAAACAAATGACTCGCAGGCCGGTTCAACGTGTATGAGTGACATTGAAAATATTTCTAAATTCACCTTAATAACAGCTATGCATTTTCCCCAGTGGATTTTCAATGGTTTGGATGTGATTGTCAGAAATTGATTATGCAGCCTTCATCCGTACCATGGTCTTCTGGATGCGTCGATTCAGTAACCAGGGGAGATGATCAGAGCGTTTGTCCGTGTGCGACCAGCTTTTCTCTGCCTAGCGGTCTTGTCAACAAGGATTCCGTCAATAAAATTGCAAAATGTAAACACTTTCGTCCTGAACCGGTTTAAATTGTTATTCTGCCGTTAAATGCGAAGCGATGGACGCCTGATGCCGCCGTCGAGGTTCGGAACAGCAGCTCAGCAGCGATGTTAGTTAGGCTCCGTGTGTAGGTATGAAGGCGGGACTCGAGTGTCAGCCGTCGTATTCAAGCCTCAATTTTGCACCGCATCTCATGTTGATCCTCTACATACAGTATAACCCACTCACCATCATACGTTTATTTCAAAACCGACAGTCAGTATTAGATGATATTATTCCTTTCAAAAGAAGTATATTTCCACAACTGCTACGGATGACGTCTCCTTGGCTGCAAGCAAACCTATATCATAAATCAGCAATGGCCGTCAACTATTTCATGATCCATTTTAAAATAAAAAACAACCACTTAAATCCTCTTTTATCCGCCCTCTGCTCCATTTCTGTCTCTCATGCTAAAGAAATGGTTCTTTTATAGGTGTATAAATGCGTGGCTGTTTTTTTTTGTATTAATCTTCTCACATTTTTCCACAGGAGTTGTGCTCGACTACCGTCTTGAAGTGGGTCAGGGCATAATTCAATCCAGTTGCAGTTCCCTTCTTTTTGATTACCATGCCGTCTTCACGAAATCGCCTACTAGCAATGAATTGATAACATTTGATTGAAATGGCTTTAAGCTTAGTAAGTGTTTATTGTTTTAACTTTAAAAATTGATACTAATGGTAATAAAATTTGTTATACTGTTCCATCAACGCTTTTTGGCAGGCTCCCCATACCAGTAAACATCTTTTCATCCGTAGAGTACAGTCCTTTTCAGAGCCAAAATAGCTAATACAAGGTCAAAGAACAGATGCTGATAACCATTGACAAAAGGTAAGTAGCATTTATTATTATTCTTTTATTAATTTTAGAGCCCAAAAACTCAATTGGTTTAATTTAACATGGGGACAGTCTATCAAATTCTTTAACTAAAACAAAGACTGGACAAGTTAAAACTTTTACATGCTGAATAGAAATCTGACACGCTATTTTAATAAATTACACAATAATCATGGTTATCACGAATTATTCATGTGTGTTTCTCCGTAAAAGTTACAGGAACGTTTATTCTTATAATTTATCGTAATCTATGACTAAAACAAAACAGCATCAAAAAACACTCATGACCTCTTAAGTTTATTTTCCCAATACATTCTGCATACTTTCGTTAGTATGCATACAGCACAATGGTCAGGACTTCAAAAGCAAGGCTTCAAAACAGCTGTATTCTGCGGTTTACGTATGAGCTTCCCCGTACCTAAAGCACTCGGTGTTTTGTTGCATGTGTGTGTGTGTGTGTGTGTGTGTGTGTGTGTGTGTGTTTGTACATTTTGTCACAATTAAATGACAAAAATCACCTTCATACTGTATAGCTTGTTACTTCAAAGCGTCAATACGCAGTGGAAGAGAGAAAATTGTGATACGACTACCAGTGGGATACCACAGACTCGGTGAAAAGCAAGCTTGTACTGTATTGTCCACATTAATTCAGATAATACACTGCACAAAAAATGCGTTCCTTATGATTAACGTAAAGATAATGCGAATAAAAACAATAATACGGAGCGAAAAGCAACAAGTTTCCATGAGTCAGGTTTACCTGCGAAAGCCCTCGTTGGACCGTCAGCGCACTACATTTAACTGAGTCACCCACATCTATGGAACCACCAAGTCTAAACACTTGAAACCGTTATGACTAGTCCGCATACACGCCGTTCTGGCATCCATGAAATTTGTACCTGCCTTACACACGTGCGATAGCGAAAAAAACCGAAGTCACGAATCATATTTTAGCTGGGAGGTGCTGCCTCTCCGCCCGTCGGCTCCGCCACTGAACTTTATGCTTTATGCCAATCAGGTGGTCTGTTTATATGATTTCAGATTGATGGTCTGCCGCCGCCTTGCGGCTGCATTAGATGACAAAAACTACAGGACACCTTCAGCATCAACGTTACAAGATGCACATCCTATAAGTGCCCCGTTTTCCCCTAGCCTCCCCGGACACCTGCAATACCATCTGTGAGACCGGTCTCAATAAAAGCTGCAATATTACCGTATTTAACATTACAATCTTTCATTTTCAGGATGCTGTCTGTACACTGGATACTTTTTAAATTTGTTTTGCACCACATTTACTTGTTTGCACCATGGGTGCTCTCTTTATATCTTGTCTGTTTGGCACTATGTGTGTGTTTGTCTGTGCACTACATTCTTGTTGCTGTATGCACCAGAATTTCCCCCTGGGATCTATAAAGTCCCTCATAATCTAACTTGCAGTAGAATGGGAGGAAAGACTGAGGCACTAAGCCCTGTCTGGGATGAAGCGAGTGTTCACTATACTATCCATCATGATGGTTTCCAGTGGCTTGTCAAGACAAACCTGGAGTACATCTAGTCTGCTGGAGATGGGAAAAACCTGCTGAGCTGTTTAGTCATCTCTGAGCTAAATGGTGCGGCACATACTGCCTTAAATTATATTCTAACAAGGGGTACATTACGAAATAGCATGGTTAACTTTTGAAATCATTATCCTGTACATCTATACACTACTAATCACAAATCCAATATGTTCTTAGTCTAGTATTTCTAGAACCCTTTTAAGACATGAAAAATCACAAATACACTTTCACAAGCAAGTCAATGTCTTAAATGTCCTAACAGATTCCTTTTTCCGCCTTTTACCAGCTTTTCAACAACATTTGGTATCGGTTAAGGCAGTGGATATAAAAACTTTGTAATGGTTCAGAATACAACTTATGGTCTAGTGCTGCTGTCTGCTTCATAAACACACACTTTTGCAGGCAGATATATGACAATGGGCTCACACAAAGTGTCTCAATTTTATTTTTACTTCATCTTGGTTGAAAAGATTATGCCAACAAATACTGGTTTGCCTAGCGGAATATAACAAAAGCACTTACTGATCTCTCCATATAGGCTACCTATAGCTTAGTTCTAGGCTGTGGCCAGCGTTCTAATAGCCATTCATACAATTAATGCTTGATATTGGCCCTCAGAATAGTGTGAAAACAACTACCTTTTCTGTAACATAAGAGTATATCCCCAAGTTTTATGATATTTTTCCTGATATGGAGAGGTACTTTAAAAATTATCTACAGCATAAAATGAGACTTGTATGGAAAAAATAAAAATGATGCTTCTAAATTTACTGAAGATTCATTTAAAGCAGGATACAGTGCTCTATTCCATTGGAAAACAAGGAGTTTAGAGGAACACATGCATGCATTGTAAGAGAGTAAGTGGTACAAGGCAGTATCATGTAAGCACATAGGAAACAGGACATGTGGCTTCCAGAAGTGGACGGTGATCCACGTCTAGTCATTTCCTCCACACAGCTTTAACAGGAGCTTCTTGTAATCTCCAGATGTATCCCCCTGCAACAGCAAGAACAGTCAGCCTTCAAAGTGCACATACGAGTACGTTTACCATTAGAATTCAGAAAAGTACAGTGGTACCTCAACTTAATCCATTCAGAACTCGGGTTCGAATCCTAAAAAGTTCGAGTTCTGATCGAATTTTCCCCATAAGAAATAATGGAAAACCAATTAATTGGTACCCGGCCCCAAAAAATTACACCTAAATATGTTTTTATTAGCATTTAAACACAAAATGAACAGGATAAAACAAGAGCAGCATTTATTTCTTAATGGCTTCCAAAACGATGAAGAATGTACCCCAACACCATCATTGTGTTGTTCTGCCTGTTCTCAGTTAAACCCTGTGTTTCCCGATCGCTTGAGTCCCGTCCCTGCTTCCCCGGTTCTGGCTCGGCAGATCGTGAAAACCACAAGCCACGCCCCAACACTTCGCCAACACTAGACTATGCCATGCGGTCAATTGTTTATTTCTATTATTACTCTGTATTCGTTAATTTGTTCGTAAATCACAAACTTTTAGGTTGTAACATTTGTACAACTATTGCGTAACTTTTTGGTGAGCAATGGCTACCAAAATGATATAAAATACTGTGTATTACAGTATTTTCAATAAAAAGAAGCACTATCACCAACAAACAATGCTATCATAGCGAATACAAGGCTGAGACTGAAGTGTTAGCCTTTGTTTCTGCTGAGAGACGTGCTGTGTGACTCATTTCCCCGTGTGTACAAGTTCTTAGGTTGGCGTTAATGGTTCGACTTCTGAGATTCAGATCGAGTTCTAGGTCATTTTTAATTTTTTTTTAATTGGTTTGTTCGACTTTTAAGAAATTTGAGTTCTAATGAGTTCGAGAACTGAGGTACCACTGTATTTGTATTTTTCAGCAGAAATGCTAGAACAGCTATAGCAAAGTCAGACTCATTTGGAGTGAAAAAGAAAACTAGATGATAGAAATGAAAGCTCTCTTTGGATAACTGACACATTTATACAGCTGAAATGACAGCACTAACCGAAATGTCGTGATACAGAGATTTTCCATAATGTTTCATGTACTCCTGACGGATGTCCAGCATGTCAGTTTCAGAGCGGGATACCATTACTCGGATCAAGGTCTTGTCCTTGGTGCCCAATCCCTGTGAAAGCAGCATGGTTAACTCAGGCCAGCAGCCAGACCCAGACTAGACCAAAGTGGGAAAGAGGGTGCAGGTGCCTGACCTTCATAGACTTCTGCAGCCTTTCTGCAAAGTAGGCAGGTGTGTTTCTGATGCACTTCACTAAAAAAAAAAAAAAAAAAAAAAAGAGAGATACAATAAGGGGCCTGTCACAACACTCAATTTCATATTCAATTCATATTCAATGCTCATCTCCAACCCTAACCCTGCAGCTGGTTAAGAACTGGCAGTGTGGACACACAGAACATTTGAAGATGTTCAGAAGGAGGCACATGCCAGACCACTTCTCTCACACAGTAGCCGTAGAGCAAACACAATATAAACCTTCACTTGCTCACTCTTTAAAATGTGGCATGCAACTGAAATAAGACTTGACACACAAAATGTATTAGCCCTTAATGACCACACACACACACACACACACACACACACCAGAGTGCTTAAGGCTGGTTGATGGCCTATTGACCTGTATTCTGACTACAGACCTGCCCCAGTGCCCCAGCTTACTGTTTCAAGTGACAGCATACAGATACACATCACTCACACAAAAGGGACAGACATTAATAAAGCATCTACTGCAGACACATTACCATCTCCCTGTACACTGAAAGCATATTCAGAAAAAAACAAGAGCAGGATTACAACAGACTTAACAGAATTAACGATAGTGTGATTACAATTACTATTACCGAGAAATTTAAAAATCAATGTCAACACGTAAGTCACACAGTAAGTGTAAGTTTGGTATATGCATTAATTGCCCTGTGGACATGCAGATAAAGTGAACAAAGGATGAGTCTTACCTACGGCCAACATGCCACTCTCCAGGTTTCCTGACATCTCCCTACAGATGCTCTTTTCTATATCAATGCCACACATTTGTTGATACTCATGGAACACTGGAACAGACAGAAGCACCAATGATAGTCTCAGAACAGAGGATCTGTTAATTTCCATCAAATGGGATTATTCATAATGTGAATCAAGCAAGAAGACACTTAGAGAAATACCATAGTGAATTTCTGTTGCAGACCAGAGGATACAATGGCTGACATGTCACTATTTAAATTACCATAGATAAGACAACAGGTCTTCTGCTTTGTGGCATACAGGGCATCTGCATAATTTTAAGTTGTTGGCCTGTAGCCTTGGACACTAAAGAGACTGTTTAATAACTGAGTAGATTATACATGTGTTAACTGGTTGTGTATGGATACGTTTTTGGCAGATAGTGTAGATCAGAATCCTTTGTTCAGATCTATGTTTCATATATTTACACAGTGGGTAAGTATAACATGACTGATTCTCACTATATGGAAAATAATACAACCAACATGTACTATGGACATAAAGCTAGGGTTACTAATCAAAAACAATTTTCAGTTTCTCCATAGATAGTGACACTTTTTCTTGCGTGCGAGTGATGTTTATCTGTATGCTGTCACTTGAAACAGTACCTGCTCTCAGGTGGCTTTTGCTTCTAGAACACAGGATAGCATTGAACTTTGATTCATCTGTCCCCAGTTTGTTTTCCCCCGCAGCATAGAGTGTCTGACAGTAAATATGAATCACACTGCATAAATCACAACTTGAAAAAACAAACTAAAAAAGTAATCAAAGCATAAAGGATGTGCAAAATTGTAACTGGGTTTTAATACTTGTGAGTTTGAGCACTGAATATATTGTGTTTTACCATGTGGTTTTTTTCTGCAGTCAAACAATTCTTAGCTGTACCTGAGCATCCTGCTTTGCCAGTGATATATCCACAGTCTCACTCTCATTTCGATTCCCCTTAAGACAAGAAGCAGATTTAGAGAGGACATTAGCCAACAGTCCATATATAGCTCAATGAAACACTGATGTTTCCTTTTAAAAATGGGAGAGTATGCTCCCACAAAAATGACTAACTCAGTCACATTCTGAGCAATAGAAGCATGGGTAGGAGACCAACAGAAGTTATAACTGGCTTTTAAACCTCAAGATGTACCTTCATATAGTATATGGCTGATTTTATAGTAATGGGTTTTACCTGAGCCAAAGAGATGAGCAGTCTACGAAAGTGTCCTGAGGTGTCTCCACTGATGGCTTCTTCCAAGGTTTTCTTATGTTCTAAGAAGAAACCACATGGGGAAAAAATTAAGAATACTCTCTCCTTTTCAGTCTCTCTCATGTACACGTGCACACACACACACACACACACACACACACACACAGACACAAAACCTCAGAGCTAGGAACATAAACCTAATCAAGGTGTTTTCCACAGTGCTGATTTGGTAAACGCCAATAGAAACCAAATCAAACAGCTCAATCATTCACATGCTAATTTTTCATCGGGAAGAAATCTTCCCAACTTCCAGAAAAGAACGTCCTGAAGCAGAAAGCACACTGAGACATTTGAGGTTATCTTAAAAGACAAATCAAAGACAGGATTAGCCTTCCAGAAAAGCTCATTATTTTATCCATCTTGTTCCTGGAAATGGCAATTGCTTGTTACGATTCTGCCTGACCTGATCTAATCACAATCAAATTGCCAAAAGTCAAGACAATTTCTATAAAACTAAATAACATTGTCATGGTATAGCTGACACGGTATTATCTATGAATAAAATACTGATAACCAGTTTTACATTAAACACCTGTATTTGGTTTAGCAAAACTGATCACCGGATATGCCTAGCTGATGAGGTATGTTGGTGCTGAAATGTATTTTTAGTATTCTTAGCATGTAGAAAAACATTGTAGGGTATTCTTTTACAAGGTAGTGTATGCCTGACCTACTCACCTGCTTTGTAGACCTGATTGATTTCGTGGATCTCAGCATTAGTGCGTGAGGATAGGATCTCAATGAGGCATGCCTCATCTGTGCCAGCACCCTGTCACACACATAACACACTACTAACCCTGTTTTCTGACATTTATGTCACATACACACCCACACACAACCAGATACAGACATAAAACACTACTATCAGGTCTATTAAGCAAATTATGTCTACTAATTTCTCACAAATCACACACACACACACACATACACGCACACACACACACACGCACGCACGCACACACACACACACACACACACACGTCCACTGACCTCTGATTTTTATATGAATTTCTATAGCTCAACTTCATAACAGAGCAAAACGAATGACAAAAATAAAAACTATTCAGGCAATGTGAATTACACTGAAGTACTCCTTCAGGGGAAGAAAGCAACAAACCTTGATTGCATCATGGAGTTCAGCTGCATTAAACTGTGCTGGAGTCTTCAGCATGGCCAGCACAAGCTTTTCAAAGTTCCCTGAAAGCTCTGACTTCAAATCTTTCACTAAATCCTATAAAAAGAAAGAACACCTTCAATAGTTTCTGAAAATTCTAGAGCAGTTTTTCCTCCACCACTACGCAGCGGGCCACAGCCAGCCTCAAGACAGCTGCAGAACTGCGGCAGGGAAACATGGCTCAGTTTGTAATGGGCCACTGCATGGATGCCAACTCGATTGCTGCCTGGGAAAATTCCACAATTGGTGACCATGGAGACAGGACTGGCCAATATAAACAATGTATGGACTCATTGTCATATAAAATTTAAACAAGAAAATGAAAAAGTCTGATAAACTGTGGATAAGGAACATTGCTTGATAGCACACAAGCCTTTCACATGGCAGAAATGAACGCGTCTCTAACCAATCATTGGTTCCCTCATAGGAAGCTTCCGTGAATATGGTGACAGCTCGGCAGCCACAACATCTAGAGATATTGTGACAAACATAAAAAGATGTTGGTATAGTGGCAGTATTGTTTGCAATTTAAAATCACACACGAAACGGGCTGGTGTTGTGTACAATAAAAATCTGCTCAAACCTAGTGCCAATTAGAAGTGGAAATACTGCAAACTTATTTCACCTACTAAAGCACTGCCACCCAGCAGAATACAGAACTTAAGTGCTTACAGTCACAGTCACCAGCAATTAGTGTTTCTACTTTCAATCTGAAGAAACACAGAACAAAGTGTGTCACGTACTGGTTAAAAACGGGACACAGAATTTTATTTTTCATTACAGTATGGATGACAACAGAACCAGTGATGTCAAACCTGCCAGGCAGACACTCAGAGCAGCTGGGCAGTGAGGAAGTCAGAGAAAAAAACCCTGTACTGTTGGAATTTTTTAGTGTTATGCCCTATGATAAAAGTTTAATTTTGTATGATTTACTTATTAGAATCAGATATATGTTTGTCCATTTAATTAGTCGTAAATTTCATGTTCTGAATCTGATTGTGAGCAATTCTAAGCAAATTATTAGCAAAAATATAGCCTTGAAGTAAAGAAATAATTGGAATTATTTTGCGAAAATTATCACTATCAACTGAAATTAACACTTTTTTGTGATGAAATATTTTTCTCAGCCCCATCAGAGAATCCCCCTGGGGCCAGTGATATGATAAATGTTAACCAGCTGGGCTGTGTGGTTGGAAAGTCTGAGAAACCCTGCTCTAGAGCAAAGTAAGAAACGATTTCAGTCTTAAGGAAAAGAAAATCCTCATCACTGTTTCAGAGCAGCAGATTGATATAACATTCCTGCCCTGACAAATTATGTCCGCTTAGTTTCAGGCAGATAACCAAGTAGCTACTTACGAACTTTAAGCATAACAGTTTCACTAAAAATACTGGATTTCTGGTTAGAACAGTCAAGTGAAGTTAAGATATGTCATTGACAGTGGTATGATCCTATGATGTTTGTTAACTGCAGTGGATTTATACCACATTTTATTTTACCTTCCCATATGCTGTTTTGTAGGTGACTAACAGCGGCACCCGCTGCTTGTTGGAGCGATTTGCAAGAAGATCAATGATAGCTTGCTCATCAGTACCTGTGAAAACATTTTTATGTTTTACTTGGGATTTTACCATAAGAGGAAATAAGTATATGACATTTTAGCACTAAAATATTTGGTAAATTCCCTTGCACAAAATAGACGTCTTCCCCTGGAAAAGGTGGAAACCCAAGCATGCATCACAGCAGGCTTTCAGATCAGAGGGTTATTCGTGAAGCTGTCAGGCCCCCAGTAGAGCAAAGACTTTCTTACCAAAGCCTTTCATTGCTTTCCGAAGAACTTCAACATCCTTTAGTGGATCGGCACCGGGAAACTCCTGGATAGTACCTCGATAGCCTCTCTAGCAAAGAAAGGACCACAGCATAAATGTGGAGGTCTGTAGTCAGAATACAGGTCAAACAAACCAGAAATTACTTAAGTGATCTGAAACACTGACAGTGAAGCATGTACATTTCGGCTGTTTCAATAGTGCTTTTACAGAAAACTATTGGTAGCGATGACAGCCATTTAGCATAACTATTTTGTTGTCCTAAATCAGGGACATTAACTAAGAAAAAGATATTTGTTGGTTAATCATAGTTTATTACCAGTTAAGGGAAGAATCTCAACCATCAATGAAGTGTTAATATTGCAAAGTAAGGATGGTAAATAAAGCCTAGGTCAACATAGTCAGGCATTATTCCTGCTAAGTATATAACTACACACTACAAAAGCATTTGAAACATTTCAATAATATACAGTGGTACCTCAGTTCTCAAACTCATTAGAACTCGAATTTCTTAAAAGTCGAACCAACCAGTTAAAAAAAAAATTACCTAGAGTTCGATCTGAATCTCAGAAGTCAAACCGTGAATGCCGATCTTAGATAACTCGTACGCGCAGGGAAATGAGTCACACGGCACGTCTCTCAGCGGAAACAAAGGGTAAAGCTTCAGTCTCAGCCTTGAATTCGCTGCGATAGCATCATGCATGTTTACACTAGCTGAATACATATATTTAGACAGTAAAAATACATTTAAACAATGATAGACAGTAACAGTAATTATTATATAATAAAATACATTTAAAAATAAAGATTTCTTATTCATTATTTTAATATTAATAAACCATTGATACATTTCATTATAATAATACTGTCGTGCCGAGCGGGGGCGGAATGGAGACAAAGGCGCAGACATCAGGGTATCGGGTATCGGGGAATACAGGGTTTAATTACAGGTAAGGCAGGCAAAACGCAGACGGACAATACAATGACCAGACTAGGGAAACAAACTGAAACGCGGAGGAAATACAGAGGGCTAATGACAACAACCAGAAACAGCTGATCATACGGGGATTCCACATGGGGTTAACAAGGAAGCGTGGCACCCGGAAGGAGTGGACGATCGGGGCAGGACACATTGTTTTTTTTATTTTTTTAACTTTACACATTGTTTGGATACATTTTTTTCTTACTTTACAAATTACTGTTTTGATAAATGTGCTTAGATGTGTTTAGTACAGTATATGCTCTTCTTGTTTTATCCGGTTCATTTTGTGTTTAAATGCTAAAAAAAAAAACATATTTAGTTGTAATTTTTTGGGGGGCCGGGAACCAATTAATTGGTTTTCCATTATTTCTTATGGGGAAAATTCTATCAGAACTCGAACTTTTTAGGATTCGATCCAGAGTTCTGAACGGATTAAGTTCAAGTTCTGAGGTACCACTGTAGAAAGATTTAAAATATTTTACTTGCAGAAAGATAAGTTCACGAAAGAAGTGTTTAAAAATGTTTAGTTTGTCAGGCTTAATATAAGTTGGCAATTGGAATCGGGCAAGCAAAATGCAATCACTGCCTCCCTAACAAAAACACAAAGTACCTACATTGATAGCAGGGGCTGGGGGACCTCCTCCATAGCCTGGCATGGACGGGTTGGGTCCAGGGCCCCCAGGATAGCCTGGCATGGACGGGTTGGGTCCAGGGGCCCCAGGATAGCCTGGCATAGACGGGTTGGGTCCAGGGGCCCCAGGATAGCCTGGCATAGACGGGTTGGGTCCAGGGGCCCCAGGATAGCTTGGCATAGACGGGTTGGGTCCAGGGGCACCTGGGTAGCTTGGCATAGACGGGTTGGGTCCAGGGGCACCTGGGTAGCCCTGCATAGGAGGTGTTGGCCCAGGGACCCCAGGGAAGCTTGGACCAGCCTGAAATGAACCAGTACCCGAACTGGGCTGGGGGTACATTCCATACTGTGCCTGGCCTCCTGGCTGGGGGGAAGGGAACATGGAGGGGTTTGAGCTGAAACCCCCCATAGAAGATGAGATCTGACTAGCCTGTAAACAGGAGATGGGGGAAAGACAGTTTAGATCTGATGTTATCACTGTAGAGGTGAGTAATCAAACAGCTGTATTTATTAAATAACTGTCATTTCTTTATATATATATAAAAAAAATGATTACACTGATTCTCACCATTCCTGACAAACCAGCAGGGGTGAATGCGGGATTTGTCACATTGTCCAAGCCAAAGCCAGGAAAGCCTGGGCTAGCACCCCATCCAGAGTTAGTACCTACAACCAGCAGGAGACACGTTCATACTCACCCTGCATAGACAATGCACCTTCACCTGTTAGAATGTGGCTGCATTACAAACATGATGGCTCAGTCTCAATCATGAAGCACATTTCAGCAAAACATTAGCATGGTGTCAAGGCCAGATCAGGTTAGGCGGCACTTAAACCAGATTAGGCTGAATATGAATAGGCATCCAAAACCCAAAGACTAGGGCTGGGCGATTTCCAATTCCGATTTAATTTCCTTTTCTAAATTTATTGATATACATAAAAAACAGACGTCATACAAATAAGTTTTGTTTTTATTCCAACAATATAAACATTTATTATTGTTTTTCCTGTATTTTTTTCCTGGTCTTAGTAGTTTACACGAAGATTCCATGCGGCCAATGAATCTTTCAGCCCCTGGGCGAAAAATGTTGCCGAGGAAAAACTTTGCAGAGTCCAATCGTTCGCCACAAAATGGTGAGGTTAGTTCAGTAAAACAGCACATCCTCCAGCAGCTTTGCGTTTATTTTCACGTGTACTGCTATATAAACGGGGTAGGGCTACTTCTGTAAAATACTTTCGGCTTGGGAGCTCATATTTGGGGTTGATTGTTTTTAGCATCTAGACAAACCCATATTTTTCAAAAGTGTAAATGGGCACCATATCCTTGGCGATATGAAAATGTCACTGCATCTGTAATTTCTTTCCATCGGGGTCCCTTCTTATCGTATGGTACACAACGCGAAAAAGACATTGCTATTGTTATCTGAATTTTGGCTGGTTTTTGGAAGCTATTGCTTGCTTGCACTTCTCGCATAGCTAGACAGTCTGTCCATTCTGGTGCACGCCTCTGACGGAAATGCTGAAATAAGATTGTTGTGCTGCTACCTTTGGTAGCCACTGACTTGAAACAAACTTTACAGCAGACAGTAGCTTGCTCAATGTCAGACTTAGCAAAACCAAACCACTTCCAAATGACGGAGGCGACGCTGCCAGTTTTCGAGATGAGCTCATCACTTATTAACGCGTGTGCTGCCATTTTCATATTGTCTGCTGGTTTCCAAAGGGGTGGGAATCCATGACAGCGGTATGGTTTGCAATAATTTAATGTATGTCAAGAAAGTTTTTTAAAAAAGCATAAAATATTTTATGAGCATCATTTACTCAGTTGTATTAACCTGAAGCTATAATAAATCGACGTAAATCCCGATTTTCATTTTGCACATCGTCTTGAAAAATTTGAATTAATTGATGAAAGCGATTTATCAAGCAGCTCTACCGAAGACTGGTTTTCTTCAACTATAACCCTGGGGAACCCACGGGGTCATATACGATCCTTCCTTTTATTTCTGCCTTACATTCAACCCACTCATCAAAGTTAAGAATTTTTTTTGCTTTACAGCCCATTGTACCATATACGACCCAGTAACAGTGACATTTAGTGACTACTGACTGAATTAACCTGACTTTTTTCCACAATAAATATGGCCCCCAACGCATTTTGAGGTTGTTGCTGTACATACTGCAAAGATTCACCTGTCAAGCTGTGAATAGGTAAGTGGCAGAAATTTTGCATCATCAGTTATAATGTTTAGATGTTATAGAACATGTACAACTAGGTTTTGGATGTTTTGAAACTTTTCTGGCAACTGTGATGATCATGTTCCATGTGTTCAACATCAGCCTCAGACAAAAACAGAGGGAATACAGGTGGTGCGTCAGACCTTACAACCCATCACAAGTAAACTTTCTGTGTGTAGTACACCTTTTTGCAGGTCTGTTCACTTGACCTGTTTCTTGATGGGTTGGCCTATTTGAAGCATGTGTTTTATTGCCAGCACATGGTGAATGATGAAAAGGAAAACTCAATAAATGCATTTTGAAAATAAGAATGGTGCAAAGATTTGGTTTTTCCTTCTTTTCTGTCCTTATTTCATAGGTGAAATTATCAAGTTGGAACAGCATGAACAGTCCAGCGGGTCGTATATGGCTCATTTCATAACATGGACTGGGAAAGGGTTATATTTACAAAACACCTGTTTTTGAGTTTACTGGGTCTGTAGGATCATTTTAACCAATGCACATATTTTTTCCAATAATGATAAGGTGGTCTGGGTTCCCCAGGGTTACATTCCCTTTTGATCCAGGCATCCAAAAATCACCAATGTTGCTATGATTTTTCAAAATGCCACATCACGATTAGCCCCAAAAACAATCTATTATAAAAACTGAGTACCTCAAATGAAACCTCCAAACCCCTGCACTGATTTTTCTTCAATAAAAAGATCAACAAAAATAAATTACTGACAGTTCATTTCATTGTTTTGAGGTAAAGCCAAAGCCGAACATATAGTGCTAAGACAAGTGCTGTTGGGGAAGCTCTGAATGGGGATTCTTACAGGATTAGAGAAAATAATAGCAGGTGAATAAATGCATGTGTAGTGCTTGTTATGGTGTGCTGGGGAGCATAATAGTGAACTTGACGATACAGGAAACAAAGGTCACTTGACAAACACACCCTCAGCAAACAGGCATATTTAAAATGGTTACTTCATTCAGGTCTGTAACCCTATTAATATTAAATGACTCACATGCACATTCACAGCATTACCATTCTTTAACAGAATAGTGTATTGTTACGCAAAGTGTTCTTTCAAATGTAACAGGACTGTATCATACACTGACAAAACATGCAGCTGTGAGCCATCAACAATAAATACCTACCTGTAGGGGGCACTGGAGGACATCCTCCAGCTGCAGGGGGGTAGCCACCTCCCTGTGGTGGGTAGCCCCCAGGCTGAGGTGGGTAACCACCAGGCTGAGGTGGGTAGCCTCCAGGCTGAGGTGGGTAGCCCCCAGGCTGAGGTGGGTAGCCACCAGGCTGAGGTGGGTAGCCAGGATAACTCATTGTATGGACCTTAGAAACCAGACAGACTCTCATGATTTTGGTGCAACTCCTAATTTCAGAGGTTACTAAATTGCTATTTTGAATGCATCAAAATATAACATCATAGTATGAATTATACCTTTGTCTGAATCTCGTGTTTTCCCAAGTAATCTTTTTACAAAAACACCTTAATGTGAATACCCATTTTCATATTTCCATCCCATGCTTTTTATATTCAACACCCCCTTCAAAACACGAAGTCCAACTTTAAAGTGCGGTATTAGTTATAAGCTTATGCTGATTATACGTACTGTATAAGAAAGCCCGCAAATAGTTAGAGTGAGTCGTCGCACCCACTGGAGAAGGGCGTGTACAGCTATACATAAATCTAAAGACGTGTGAATTCGTCACGGCTACATGAACACACTTCACCAATAGACAACCGTATGGCATATATGTTTTACACTAAAATTCAATTCTTAAGAGCAGTATTTAGTTTCTATTTTACGAATAGCTAACCGTTACTGACAGGTTGATACAGAAAATAAACGTCAAGTCGGTTAGCTGTTAGCATCAATAATAATGAACAGTTTTAGCAAAATACGACGGACACGGTATTACTGACAACGTCAATCACAACTAGACATGCATTTTAAGAGATGAGGAAATGTGTGGCGGTTAAACTACAACTAATGGACTGGTTTTTGTTTTTACTTGTGAAACCAACTGCGCAAGACAGCAAGACTGCCGAGGCGGCACCTTACGCAATCTGCTCAGGCTGCGCATACTGCGTGCCTGAGCTATGGGGAACCGAACGCCCTCCAGTGGCCTGTACTTCGAAGCGGGGTTACTGGCTTATCGGGGTAACTTGTCGGATTTAAGGCACCACAGTTTAAATAGACTTCATATTCGTTAACTTACATTTTGCCCAGACTACCTTAAATCCGACAAGTTACCCCGATAAGCCAGTAACCCCGCTTCGTAGTACAGGCCACAGGCGGCCGCGGCCAGCCTTGGGGGAGCAGTCACCCCATTGCGGTTTCTCTTTGCTCATTTACGCACCAGTATGTAGAGTAAGACCCGTAAGAGATTATTATGGTATAGCATAGTCCTATACTAATTTGACAAAATTTTTACCGGAAAACACAAACAGAGGATGAAGAATACAAGGTAAAAACGTAACGTTAAATCTCTTTTATTTTCGTAACGTTACTTGTAAAACTTGGTGACATTTAATTTAATTAAAAGTCTAAATGCAAGGCCTGACACTTACCCGAAAGCAGCAACAAGCGAAGGGCGCTCTAGAAGAAAACCAGATAATCCAGGAAACTAAGCAGCAGCACCCGCCCCATATTTGGGTTGGGTCTTCGTCACAGTTTCCATAAGAGACACCGCCCAGACTTCGGCTTACACCAGTGGCCCCTGTAGATAGTGTTGAGTCCCTTTCTGCGATCAGGTGGCCTTGCAGATTTTTGCAGCGTCCATCGATTGTAAGTTTTGAGCTTTCAGTAAAAGTGACATATTTGCAGACCACGTTTTAAGTAGAAACATGATTCTTAAACATATGACAGTGATAAATAACCTGTAATATTTGGTGAAAACTGAGTCATCAAATAAGTGGGCCAGCACTGGATAAGTAAAATACCTGACGAAACTAAAACTATAAATATTGCTTCCGAAATTAACTGAAATAAAAACAAACGCCAAGTTCAACCGTATTTAATACGCTACTGTTTGTTTGAAGTAATGATATGTTTATCTTTACCATTATTAGTGCATGTTTTGCCTATTTTAGGGCATTAATACATAATTTGACAGACAAATTACAGCTGCGGGCTGAGACAGCAGCCTTAGGCAATACCAGTGCTTACGATAAACGTGGATGATCTACTTCTCATTATCACTGTCTGGTGCATTCATGTTAAATTATCTAAAAATATCTACACAATATCTCCTCCCTAGATATGAAATTACTAAAACGTAAACAGAAATTACAACATATAAAAACTAGAAATATTTTTTTTGACTGGATTTTAAATGAAAATTGGAAAAAAAAAAAAAAAAACTAAATTAAAAAATCAACACTATAATAACAGTGGTGGATATCTGACACCTAGGCAAAACAGTACAAGCAGCGAGTAACAAGGCCGGGGGGGTTCACAATACTTAAAGTGCAAAAACACAGGCAAGGCCGAACACAAAGATTTATATATACAGTGCCTTGCATAATAAGTCAGCAGCATACATGACGAAATAGTTCAGGCTGAGTGGTGCCTTAACAATATCCTCACACTGACGATTAGTAGCACAAAAGAGATTGCAGGGCCTAATGGAGTGGGACATGAGCAAAACCATGCATACAGAGTTATGGTGTGATACCACCAAAGTGAAATGTCACATCACATTGTATCGAGAATGCTAATATTTTATATTGACACTATCTACTATAGCCAAGGTTCATGAACAATGTGTTGCAAGATAATTTCCTGAATATATATATTATAATCAAATGCGTGAAGTAATTTTATCATATAGATAGGGGTGAACAGACTTCACCTATGTTTTTGGTGGGTCTCCAGATATGGAGTCACAGGAGTACCATAAAAAAGAATAAATCTGTAAAAGAATAAGGAAATAACTGTTGAATCAGAAAGTGAAATTAATGCAAATAAAATAATAAGGAAAATAAATTAAAAGAAAAAGGAAATTTATGCTTTTCTTTATTGCTGTTAATTTTACTGTATTGCTTTTGCGATATTTAACTTTTCAGTATTGCTTTTAACAAAGGGACAAGCTGTCAATCAACTGGCTTTGGGTACGCCTTCCTAAACAGGCTGCGTAGTCAGTTCCAGCACACATGAAATCAAAAGCAATATGGTAAATGCAAAAGCAATCCGGTAAAGTTAAAAGCAATGAAGAAAAGCATTAAATTTCTTAGTCCTGTATTTTTAATTTCTTTTCCTTACTTTATTTTTATTTGTATTTATTAAATTTTCATATTCATCATTTATTTCCTTATTTTTTTTACAGATTTATTCTTTTTTATGGCATTCCTGTGACTCCATATCCAAATTTTCCACTGTTCTACTTTGTTATCTATTCTCAATAGAAATATAACAGTGCCATCTTGTGGAGAAACTTTGCCACTACGCCGTGACAGAAAAAAATTGCACGAAGGCACCGTCATGCAGTGCTCCCCCACCCCACAAAAAAAAAAAACAGGACCATAGTATTTTGCATTTGCCGAGTAGTCTTCCCCTTGGTCGGACTGAGACTTCAACATAATCTAATTCTGGATAATCTATAGTGTATTCAGGCACTGTGTCCGAGCAGGGCTGCATCTTTTGAAGGATGAGGTCTATGGTTGCATTGGAAATTCCACACTTCCACACTAAATACACAACGCATACTAGTGTGTCCAAAACTATGATGTGCATCACTTAGTGCACAAAAAGTTTTCAGATGGCACCCTACATCTGGTGAAAATCCAAAGTGCGTGAACAGTATTCAATCCCATGATTGAATTGATTTCATTACAGCATTCTGTCTTTTTGCGTACACACCTGCCATCAATTAAACTGACTCTGATTAACCCCAAATAAAGTTCAGTTGTCCTAGTAGGATTTTCCTGACATTTACTCAGTTGCATCCTACAGCAAGAGCCGTGGTTGGCAGTAAGCTTACAAAGCAGCAAAGGGATCTCATTGTTGAAAGGTATCAGCCAACACAAAAAAGATTCCACGGCATTAGATATACCATGGAACACAGTGAAGACAGTGATCAAGAAGTGAAGAAAAAATGGGACAAGAGTGACGTTACCAAGAACTGAAACTGATGAAAAGACAAGATAAAAAAATGATCAAGGAAGCTGGCAAGAGGCCTACAGCAACACTGAAGGAGCTGCAGGAATTTCTGGCAGGTACTGGTTGTGTATTACATGTGACAACAATCTGCTATATTCAACAGAACTTCAACAAAGTATTAGTTTAATGGTGTTCACACTCTTGCAACCAGCTTAGTGTACATTTTTTATTTTATTTATTTTTTTCCCCCAACAGATGTTTGTTTTTCAGTTGAATTGTACAGGGTATAGGTCATATTAAAAGTTTTAAAATGATTTATTGTGGTCTTTTTTTACATCACAAAAACCAGGCATTTTAACAAGGGTGTATACACTTTTTATATTCACTGTATATATGATATTTAATTTAAAATGTAAAAATGACTTTATACGATATATATGATAAAACACTTTATTGATCCCCAGAGGGGAAATTCAGGTGTTACAGCAGCCAGAATAATCAGCACACATTAACAATAACCAAAGAATAATAAATAATTATAACATAATATCAGATAATAAAACTAATGAATATCAGAATAAAAGTAGATATCAACATCTGTTTACAGTGTGATGAAGGTGCAAATATGTGTTATTCTAAGAATGATGTGTAAAAAACAGTTGGGGGGGCAGGTAGGTTATTTTATTTACTCCAAACAACTAAAGGTCTGAAAAATACAACAGAGTAAGTGCATAGATCCCCAATACCTGACCGCACAACAGAGTGTTCTCGCGTGAAGTAAAATTCCCCAGTGTACAAATTGGGCAGCGGTCATAAGCACTATTCCACTCAGTGTATGCATGCATCAACTCTCAGGACATGTGTGGTCCAAATTGGGCAGCGACACACATGCGTACAGTGAGGGAAATAATTATTTGACCCCTGCTGAATTCTTAAATTGACCCATTAATTAAAAAATGAGAAGTCTATAACTTCACTGGTAGGTTTATTTTAACAGCAAAAGATAGATCAACAAAACAAGCCAGAAAAAGTGTTATATAACAGTTACAAACCAATTTGTCATTTATCTAGGGAAATAAGTATTTGATCCCTTGGAACACATGCTTTAGTATTTGGTGGAGTAACCATTGTTGGCAAGCACAGCTGTCAGATGTTTCTTGTAGTTGATCACCAGGTTTGCACACAGCTCAGCAGGAATTTTCATCATTTTTGCAGATCTCCTCCATATCTTTAAAGTTTTTAGGCTGTCACTTGAATAGACGAAGTTTGAGTTCCCTCCATAGGTTTTCTATGGGATTAAGGTCCGGAGATTGGCTAGGGCACTCCATGACCTTAATCTGCTTCTTCTTGAAGCAGCTTAGGGTTATGGTCTTGCTGGAAGACCCCCCCTCCCCCCCCCCACAATGCATTTTCAGTGCCCTGGCTGAAGGAAGGAGGTTCTCTTCAAAGATTTTATGTTACATGGCCCCATCCATCTTTCCTTCGATGCAGTGCAGCTGTCCTGTACCCTTGGCAGAAAAACACCCTCAAAGCATAATGCTCCCACCTCTGTGTTTGACAGTAGGGATGGTGTTCCTGGGGTTACAGTCTGAATTATTTTCCCTCCAAACACAGTGAGTAGAGTTGATGCCAAACAGCTTGATTTTGGTCTCATCTGACCATTTCACATTCTTCCAAGCCTCATTGGAATTATTCCGGTGTTCACTGGCATGCTTCAGATGGGTCTGAACATGGGCCCTCATGAACAGGGGTACTTTGTGAGCACTGCAGGATTTCAACCTATAACTGCATACTGTGTTACCAATGGTTTTCTTGGCAACCAAGGTCCCTGCTGCTTTGAGATCATTGACGAGCTCCTCCCATGTAGTTCTGGGGTTAGCCCTCACTGTTCTTAAGATCATTGATGCCGCACAAGACAAAATCTTCCTTGGGGCCCGAGATCCAGGGTGATTGCCAGTTATTCTTTTTCTTCCATTTGCAAATAATTCCACCAACAGTTGTCACTTTCTCACCAAGCAGCTTGCTGATGGTCATGTAGCCCATTCCACCTTTGTCAAGGTCAACAATCTTGTCTCTGACATCCTTAGACAGCTCTCTGGTGTTTCCCATGGTGATAAGATTGAACATCTAGAAAGGTTAGTGACCAAAGAATACTCTTTAAACAAAGTAATGCCATTAAATGTGAATGCTGGCTTGGTATCTGTTAAAACCTAAGTACTACTTATGTTAACGTGGTAATTTCTTATTGACTTATAGGGAAACAAATACTTATTTCCTTAGAAAAACGACAAATTGATTTGTACCTGTTACATAATGATTTTTGTTGTTTGTTTTGTTGAAAATCTATCTTTTGATGTTGAAATAAACATACCATTGAAATTATAAACTTCTCATTTCTTTATAAATGGGTGAACTTGGGAATTCAATGGGGGGTCAAATAATTATTTCCCTCATTGTATATGTATTGTAGATGAACCGGATCCTGAAGGAAAAGATCAGGTAGCCTGTAAAGATTGAGTAGCAACAGGACTGAAAGCATTCCTAAACCAAGCTGGTTGCGTCACCACTATCTGATTGGATGAAATGCGGAGAGACAAGAATGAAC